TCACTCACTCACTCACTCACTCACTCACTCACTCACTCCACTCACTCACTCACTCACTCACTCACTCACTCACTCACTCACTCACTCACTCACTCACTCACTCACTCACTCACTCACTCACTCACTCCACTCACTCACTCACTCCACTCACTCACTCACTCACTCACTCACTCACTCACTCACTCACTCACTCCACTCACTCACTCACTCACTCACTCACTCACTCACTCACTCACTCACTCACTCACTCACTCACTCACTCACTCACTCACTCACTCACTCACTCACTCACTCACTCACTCACTCACTCACCTCACTCACTCACTCACTCACTCACTCACTCACTCACTCACTCACTCACTCACTCACTCCCACTCACTCACTCACTCCACTCACTCACTCACTCACTCACTCCACTCACTCACTCACTCACTCACTCACTCACTCACCTCACTCACTCACTCACTCACTCACTCACTCACTCACTCCACTCACTCACTCACTCACTCACTCACTCACTCACTCACTCACTCACTCACTCACTCACTCACTCACTCACTCACTCTCTCACTCTCTCTCTCTCTCTCTCTCTCTCTCTCGTCTCTCTGATCTTGATGCGTATACTTTAAAAAGTACTTGGTACACGATATGTAAAAGCACGCACGCTATTTCATCATTTTTCCATGTATTATCAAGTGTACGCCGGTGGAAGGCTGTCCCTGGAACAGGAACGTTGGACAGAAGTTATCCACTCACATGAATCTCTTTTACAATTTTACGTTCGTACTTATATCAAGTCACGAATTGTGCCCTGACTGATTATCATCTCCTTAGAGAATCAATACCGTGAATCCTTCTTTTCTCACCAATTCTTGAAATAATTTCTAAATTCTAAATTACAATGCTCTTAAGCAAATATTGCTTAAAAGTACGTCTGTCATTTTCTGTATGTCGTCTTCCCGATACGTCTGTCGTTTCCCTCGATGTTTCACATATTTCCCTCAACACCTTTCCGCGATCTGCCGGAAATCCAATTGATGATCGGTCGTTCCCTCTTTTTTCCGTAATCAGTACACTCGATCAGCTCCCTGTCGATATATATTTCGACCATTTTTCTTCGACTCCTCCCCATGACTGTAATTTCTCGACATGTAATTCAACATTTATAACTAGTACACTCCGCGCTCATCCGAGTTTATCTCTCGAGGATCGTCGGTCGTTGGTCGTCGGTTGTTTGTAGAGAGAAAAGCCTGCCAGATCGCAGTGGTTTCTCTTCCTCTTCTCGACTCATCACCCGATATACGTTCGTTAGAGAGCGCAACATTGACACGGCGTGCCTACTTATTAGCGCGATACTTAACCCGCTCCTATTCCCCGACATCGCTTTCCTATTCTCCGGCATTTATGTAGGTCGTCGCTCCAATTCGACGTGAATACGCGTCGTACGCGGCGTGCCACCGCGCACCATCGACGACGAAGCAACAGCTGTTGCCGTATTGTTTCCTCCTCGCGTGTCATTACAGCCGCGCGAAACATGCGGCCGAACAGCACCCGGGTGTGTCGTCGCGTCGCACACGTGACACACTGTCCGTGGAAATTTTCGGGAAAACCGCGCGCCGATGTGTGGAAACATTGCTGCATCGATTAGCGGTAGAAATTTGAGACGCGCGCTCGCAACCTCCACGGGAAAGCGTGTAAATTTCTAACGCGAAATATGCTCCGCGTTTTGCATTGCGCATTTCTTTCAATGGAGCGCATGGTGTACGTATTTCATGTTTATATGCGACATAACTGGCACGACTTATATAAAATTAAACAGCTAATTTTATGGATACATGCGTTATAAATAGTACGCTTTGATAGCGATATATATCTGGCTCTTCGTCTGATGTTTATACGATCTTCCCTTCCGATTTCAATGAATCCGCCTCACTAACGGTGAAAACGATTAATGTCGAAAATTAGAGGGGGGAATTGTGGGATTAAAGTTTCGGATTCAACTTTTACGGTAATTTACGGAAGATGCTGGACGTTCTGTCTGAGCTTAGAGGAGAATTTCAGAGCTAAAACGAGCGTCAAGAGAGCGTTTAACATTGTGTGAGGTAAGACACGAGTGTTGTTAAATGTTATGTAAAATGGATTGGTGGAGGGAGGGGGGGGCGGGAAGGGGCGATACGACGTTATACTCGGCACGGTAAGAACACGAAGTGTTCGTGTCGACGTAATACTTTCAAGTTGCATTCAGTTACCGGACAGTTGAGAAGTTTCGAATTTCGCTCGCGGCTAATCTTCAACAGATGAGACGAAATGAGACGAGAGCGGTTCATTGATCCCCATCACGATTCGGAATCACGATTTCGCATTTTGCTCCTCTCTCTCTCTCTCTCTCTCTCTCTCTCTCTCTTTCATTTCATTTTATCGCGTGCTTTAATCGCAATTTTTAGGCAACGCATGGCTCACCGACGAAAACGATGCGTCATGTCATCGTGCATCCGCCGCGAGGTCGATACATCGTACATTATCGTCGGGCCGATCGATAACTATATCCCAACCCAGCGAAATCTTGATTTCGCAGCGTTGTCGAGGAGTTGATGTTCTTACGTATGTCATCGCGTGTATGATAAATCATTCGAAATCCCACGACATAATGTGTTCGCGAGAGCGAGTGCGAATCTTCAGCAACAGCGCTGACAAGGAAGAATGAGGGAGAAGCAGTGAGAGAGAGAGAGAGAGAGAGAGAGAGAGAAAGAGAGAGCGAGAGAGAGCGAGAGAGAGGAGGGAGGTGGGGTGGGAAAAAGATAGAAGAAGAGAGATTAAAGGTGACGATTTTCGTTCTGTTTCAGGAGCGGGGGAGTCCGGTAAAAGTACGATCGTTAAACAGATGAGGATACTGCACGTCAATGGTTTCAGCGAAGTGTAAGTTTTATCTTTAACGGCATTGGATGCGTACAAGGCGCCAGTGCGCATGTATCGGTCTATACCAATTCGGTCGTGTGTGTCGTTAACCCACACATATTAAATAAGGGCCGTAATCGTTCCTTTGTTTTCCCAGCTTTTCATCGTGCATCACGCATTACAATTAAACATTGGGGGTGAGCTCTTAACGAAGTACAAAGCCATACTTGCTCTCGGGATCGCATTGACTAATCTTTCGTTTAAGCAGAGTGATACAAAAACCAAATCCCAAAAGCATCCTTGACAGATCCTTGAACCGCGAAGTCGCTATTAAAGTAATGGACATTGTGTCGATGGAAATTGTTTACGGTGGTGTACGCACGAAGCTGTCGCGCGCGCTCAGAACACCAGTCGCGACACTATCCTTTTGCCGTGACTTAATTTCTCCCCGTGACTTGAATCAACTCGCGAGCGTAGTCTCCGCGAGAGAGAGAGAGAGAGAGAGAGAGAGAGAGAGAGAGAGAGAGAGAGAGAGAGAGAGAGAGAGAGAGAGAGAGCGAGAGAGAGAGAGAGAGAGAGAGAGAGAGAGAGAGAGAGAGAGAGAGAGAGAGAGAGAGAGAGAGAGAGAGAGAGCGAGAGAGAGAGTCGAACGCGTAATTAGCGAGCGATCAGTTTTTCAACGCAGACCGTGTCGACGAATGATGATTCATCCCTGGTAACTGGTTCGGTCCGCTGTGTCAGCGATATCAACACGTGGCTGATATGAATTCGCTATTACTACTTCCCTTTCCTATTCGAACGCGCATTCTGTGTTCGCCTTCTTCCTCTCGATTCTCTTTTTACGTTAGCTTTTTACACACGACACCCTCGAAACACTCCCTCTGGAATTATCCTCGTTATTTTAACGGATCGCTGATCGACATTCTCGTCTCGTTAACGAGACGCTTTACAATTTGTTTTCTTTGTTCGCCTCGACGATGATTTCACTGAGACGTATGACTCTTCGATTCTTTTTCCTCGATACGATTGTCTCTGTTTGTTTGCGTCCACATTTATCCCACTTTTTTTATTCTGAACCGCTAATTTGCAGTGTCTCATGGTTATAACCATCGGATATTTCTATGCACTTGGTTTCCTCGATTTCACCGGATCCGCGCGATTCACAGATCCTTCTCGTCCCGAGAAAAGAAAAAGAAAAAGATAGAGGAGGGAGGAGAAATTCCAGTCTACAAATCCTTAGTACGGTAGCGCGAGTCTTTTGTAATGTTTATGCTCGCGATAAAGTACACGCTAGATGATGTTTCTTGATCCGTGAGTTTTCGATCGTAAAGACGAGAAGATCAATATATACGCATGAATCGAAGCAAGTTGTAACCGTTAACAATTTCTCTTGTTCGCGTAGAAAATCAGGGGCGGTTGTGGTGGCTACGATGAGCACGACATGTAAACAGATCTCAGGCTCGACGACTTGCGTGTGTCGTAAATTCTGTCTGCTTCAAGCGCTGATAACGGAGCAGAAAGTCGTTTGGTCTTTATTTCTACGTTTTGCGATGATTTCTTTCGCGATCGACACGTGGACTCGCGTGGATTCTTTCCCTCTTTTTTTCTTTTTCTTCTCTTTTTCTGTTTCTTTCTCTTGTTTTTCTCGTCGCTCCGAGGGACGAGAGTTCTCGAGTTTTCGGATTGTTCTAATTCTATTGTGCGCGCGCGTGCGCTCGCGCGCGAATAAAGAATTTTATCTTTCTGGCAGAATCTCTGAAAACAGAGCGATCCAAAAATACGAATTATTGATCGAGGCGGTGAGTTCCAGTTGTTCTTCTAAACACGTGGTAGTTGGCGTGCTAAAATTATCGAATTACTCTGAAAATACCGATAAGAACACACGTCTGCTGTCGTTTCATCCAACACGTGACTCAATTATTATTGCCGGCCGACTACTCCGTTTATTCTCTCTCTCTCTCTCTCTCTCTCTCGCTCTCTTATACGTTACTACGTCTGTACAATTCATTGTTGGTCGTAGAGAGCGCCGTTAGTCACATTTAATTATGCGCGACAATGAATTGGCGCCGTGTCTCTGCGACGATGCTGATGTCGACCGTGTTTTTTGTGCGTGTTCGCAGGGAAAAGCGACAGAAGATCGAAGACATTAAGAAGAACATTAGGGACGCCATTTTGGTAAGTCGGTGTCCCGCCCGCGAGCGATTTGTAGTTATTACCTGAGGAATAAAATTAAAGGAGTGCACTGTGTATTCTCGGGGAGCGAGTCCACGCAATCGCGAATATCACACAATTCGGCGAATTGTTTTCTTTCGTTCGTTCTGTTTTCTTCCATGGCGACGCGGTCGGAGTCGACGACGTCGCATACCAAATCCCGCAAATCCCGCATTTGCCTACCGAACTTGGTTACATCGGACGTATTAAATCGTTGCGCTTGAAATAACTTCATCGACATAACCGTTACGTGACCCGCAAATTCGTGATATCAAATCTAACCAGAAGTATATTATCACACCGATTTGTGCCATTCGAGTCTCTGCATTTAAGTGATCGCGCGTAAAAACTGGTCACTTCCGTAGTCGCGTTGATGCGAAATCCATCGCATTACGTGCGCGTCCATCGTGATTGCGAGCGTATAGGAATATATATATAGCGTATAGAAAAAGTAATCGAAATGACGCAATCGACAAAATTAACTCGTACATCTCGTAGCTGTTCTAAATGTAACAGAGACGAAAGAAAATCCAGACGAATCGTTGCGAAAATGATTGGATAGATTTGAACGCTACGTTGTACCCTTACGTTGTTGTAAATACGTCTTTATTACATTTCCGTTCTGTTTAAAACGGTTTTGTTTTGTCGCAGACGATAACCAGTGCGATGAACACGCTAACGCCACCCGTCACGCTGGAAGATCCGTCGAACCAAAGCAGAGTGGACTACGTCCTGGAAGTCTCGTCTTCCCCAGACTTCGATTATCCTCCGGTGAGTCAGCTTGACTATTTGCGTTGTGCACATCATGTATTTTCTCGCCGCGAGAAACGAAACGGAACGGGCTTCACCTTCGCGCGCGCGAGCGCGGTAACTCATCGACCTTCCCCGCGCTCGGGATAATACCGTAAGAAAGAGTCTACGCGCGAGATCCGTTATCGGTGATCCGTCGTTGCCGAAAATACGACTCCGAATTGGCGCGCCCGGCAGGAATTTGAACATTGAAATGCTCGGGGCGATTTTATGCATTTGATATTTCGCTCGCGCTTGTCTTAATCGTCTCGCGTGTTGCGATTTTCCCGGCGAAACTGGGTCGCCTGCTACCGCTGCTGCTGCTGCTGCTGCTGCTGCTGCTGCTGCTGCTGCTGCTGCTGCTACCGCTGCTGCTGCTGCTGCTGCTGCTGCTGCTGCTGCTGCTGCTGCTGCTGCTGCTCCTGCTCCTGCTCCTGCTCCGTACATGCGCAACACGTGTCGCTTATTATAGTTCTTTGCGTTAATTTTCGCATAATTACGTTGTACCTTGTATGGAATATCGTCATGGACAGTTGCCCGGTATCCGCGCATATTCATTTTTAAATTACATAGTGCCGTTGGCGCGCGTTCGCTCTCTGCACGTGTGCAAATTCCTAAGTTCCTACACCATGATACATTTGCCTTAATTATATCGTATATTTCGAAGGTCGGTCTCGATCATATCGATTATCAATCGCGATAAAGTTTTACGAGTATTGATCTTCTCCTCCTCCTCCTCCTTCTCCTTCTCCTCCTCCTTCTCCTCCTGCTTCTCCTCTTCCTCTTCGTCCGTCGTCGTCATACAGATCGCGCGTATTATACGTTAAATCGCATCTCGGAATATCCGGGAACCAGCTCTTTGATTTGATTGATGATTATTCGATATCGTTTAACGTGAATGAACACAATGAGACGAAGCGTGTAACGGCAGCGACGGCACTGACAACAAAATTTGCTCAGTAATCATCGCGGAGGACATTTCTTCGCGTCTCGTTAAACCGATGGATTGCGCACATTTGCGGATTAACGTAATACGGCACGCAGACGTGTATGTGCGTTACTTTGTACCACGTGAGAACCACTGCCACTGTGCGGCATGATCAGTGTTTACAATGTTTACACAGCCACCGCTCATGTCGAGCGGGGGTACTACATGTATACATATGTATATTTAATGTCCTATGTACATATGTACGTACACAGGAAATCTCTTTCATCGTATTATTCACAAATTCACTGCACCATCATTATACCAATGTATAATAGCAACGACGATTTGCATCGATCCATCCACCGGTCACTTCAATCAATACATCACTGTTAAAGACGCTATTCTTTGGGCGACAATAAAAAGATAGAATTTACCTGCCTCTCTCTCTCTCTCTCTCTCTCTCTCTCTCTCTCTCTCTCTCTCTCTCTCCCTCTCTCCCCCTCTCTCTCCCTCCCCCGCCCCCTCTCTCCCTTCCTCCCTCCCTCCCTCCCTCTCTCTCTCTCGAATGAAAATATACTCATGTTACAACATGGAAATTAGTGTATATACCTACGCTATTTCCCATCAAGTTTGTTACATAACAATTTTCACGTACTCGATGAAATTTTCGTCATAGCGCCACATAAATAACATTTCCCGTCCTCGTCTGTCGTATATACGCGGTATTCTGAAGAATGGGCGTGTCATAACACCGCCTTGAGATTCGAAGCGTATGAAGAGAGACGTTCGGTTGTCACGCAGGTATCACGAACAAGTCGAAAGGAAGCGCGAAACAGATTCGAAATGCGACGCGGCTCTCGAAATAAAGTCGTAGCGACGAAATAATCCGCGCAGGTTTTGCGTCATTCAGCGCCGAAGTGTAGAGAGCGAGAGAGAGCGAGAGAGAGAGAGAGAGAGAGAGAGAGAGAGAGAGAGAGCCGTACGTCGCGCACTTTTTTACCAGCGACTGTCGAACGGCGAATGCCATTATATGTTGCACATGGCGTATTTGCCGGCGACGATGATGCATTCGGGTTAAACGAATGAATGATTGTTTCGCAAAGCGAGCGTCGCGCCGATGACGTCGCGGTTTCCTCTCGAGATTTACGATTATTCGTGTGATTCGAGCGCTCTGTCTGAACGACAAGGATTTTACGCGGCAATTATTTCGCGGACGTTGATATGACGGTGACAAACTGAGGAACTGACGTTTCGCGTAACGACAATCTAATCCGCTCCTCTTCTGACCTCGAGAAAATTCGAGTCGAGAGTAAACGAGGTCTAGATTAATTTTCTCTCCTCTCTCCCCACTCCCGTTATTCTCTTTAAAAAGTGAATTGCATCACTCCATCGCACCGAATTGTTTAATTGTATCGTAGCGGACCGTTTCGTGTGGAGAAAATTAAGCACCAACACAATAATCCATTACATGTAGATTTTTATTTGTTGTGAATATGTTGCACTTGGCATATCAACGGTGTTATTTTCGTGATTCAGCAGGCAAAGCAATATCTAAAGTGTTATGCTCGCGAATTCTGCCCGCACCTTCCACAATTCGTGTTTAAATTATCATTGTCATCCGGCTCTCTGCATATGTGAGAAAGGATAGGAGAAAGATAGGGAGGGGGCGAGGGCGAGGGCGTTCGTCGTCTCGATGCGGAAGTTTATTTTAGATAATCCTAGGCCTAATTTCGGTACAGTCTCTCGAAACACACCGACAGCGATTCCGACGCCGACGCGGTTTCTTACTCAGGACGACGACAGAGTTACAGCTAGCCAACGCCAGCATCGGTTGGCTGCATGCATGCAGGCAGGCAGTCGATGATGCGAAAACAATTGCGTAATTGAGGGAAGAGAATTACGAGATCGAGAAGCGTTCGGAGCGTTGAATAATTTACTCTAGCATTTTTTTTACGTAAAATCGAAACGAACGAATCTCGGTGCAACTGTATATTATTATTATCATCACCATTATTATCTCGAAGGACTCTCTGTAATGTAACAAAAAATTCCAGAGCAATTGGAGAACGCGGCGTTAAATACTACTACTTATACACGTAAAAATTTAACGTTAGTTGCGAGTTAGTAACGAGAGAGAGAGAGAGAGGGAGAGAGGGAGAGGGAGGGGGGAGACGCATCCTTTCGTGTGTTTCGATGATTTGCGTTAAACTTGCGTTGAAAATCGTTCTCAAGGCACTCTTGCATCCGCACACCGCGCGCAGATATGTCCGTTGTCCATATATTTATATTTTTAGCCAAGTTACACATTTTGCAACGGCGTTTGGGGGCCGACGGGCAGATGACGCGTTTGGACGAAATTATTAGTACGTGCATAATCGCGGTGATAGGTGTGGGTAAGGTACGGCACGGCACGGCACGGCACGGCACGACACGGCGCGGAGATCCATGCGCGGCGTGGACCTTCGCGCGGAGACATATCGACGATGCATCGATCGTGAAAGCGTAGAAATAGAATCGACACAAGAGAATTTATTAATATAACCGTCGTTATTGCCAAGCATTCGAGCGTCGCGGCCACCCACGCGATTCGTGGGGCGCGACAACTTTCGCGGGATGGACTTCCGCTGTCGTCCCGCGTATCGTTCCCAAGTTCGATACGACACTTGAAGCGACGAAAGGAACAAGCGGGCTACAGCGCTTGCCAATTTACACGCCGGTTTGTTGCGGCTTTCGACGGGCCGGCTCGATGGGAAAATCGCGCCTCGCGGCGGTCTCAGGGATTATCTCGTACCGCCGCAATGGCCACCGCCGAATTTGTAAAAACCGTGTCGTGCCGTGCCGTGCCGTGCCGTGCCGACTTGTTGTTGTTGTTGATTTGTAAAAATTTTACGAAAATAATACTTTTAATAATTAATAATCCAGTGATTATCCAGTGATAATCTACGATTTATTCTTCTACGCTTTGTCGAAAACGTAAAAAGTAATTTCAAGCCGTTTTTGCAAGTGCGCGCGCGCGCGCAGTGGTGGGCGGGGGCCACTTCTTTCTCACGAAAAGTATTATCGGTAATTTATCGGAAAATTACGCGGCGGGGTAGACTTACGCGCGTTGATTGCTAATTGCTAAGCTCGGAAGATCCTTGCCGCGAGGATAAATCGCGCACATTACGGATGCGAGACGTACGCCGTGCGCGGAGTGTTACACATACATAATGTACCGAACCGCTGTTTCACAATTCGTACACGTTTGTAAATACATGTTACCAAGAATATCATTGTGCGATAGAACGATGCAGGTGCGAGGCACAAATAATTAATAATACTTGGCGCGCTGTTCCGGCGACGTTGATTTATGCGCGCGGCCGCGGGCATGCCTGCACCGCGATTACTCGGCAACTTTTAATTCGCGCCGTTTACGAGAACGCGTCATTGATCACGACGAGTCTTTAATTGTAAAATACCGCTACCGTGTGTAATGCGGTGTTCACAGCTAACCTGTTGTGCTGACACTGGATTGATGCGCACTCTTCTGTAGTCTCTCTCTCTCTCTCTCTCTCTCTCTCTCTCTCTCTCTCTCTCTCTCTCTCTCTCTCTCTCAGCCCGCGAGGTCCGAATTACACACTTAAATTACACCGGAATCCAACTAAATATTTTGCGCATACACAGATAAAAAGTACGCGCGATAAAGCAAGCAACACGACTTGTCGCTTAAGCACGACATCGCTCGACTTATTTTTAGTAGAATCGCAATATCGTAGATTCCACATTCGACGTTCACAATGGCGAGCGCGACACTGAGCGCAGTAATCTTTTAATCGTAATTGCTCATATACATACAGCTTTCGGAACTGTCAACTGTCCGGTCGCAAAAGCGACCGGAGCGCGTTCAACTTGTTGCAAAAGCAACCGCCCACGCGGTATGAGGAAAGCATGTTTCCCGACAATAATATCTAAATTATTAATGCAGCCGACATCTTTTGCCAGTAATGCGCGCGAAGAGCGTGTCTTCTTGCCCCCGTGCCACATTATTTACGTAACATTCAAATCGCGCGGCTTTATCTCATCTCTCCGCCTCTGACAAAAGTGCCCCTCCGCGCCACGTCCACCAAGACGGTGTACTTATGCGACGGCGAACAATAGTAGTCTACTGCATTTGAATTCTGATTCTATTGTATTGTACTTCGAGAAAGAGAGAGAGAGAGAGAGAGAGAGAGAGAGAGAGAGAGAGGGAGGAGAGGCGAAATTTGCCAACTTTGCGCAAACGAAGGCGCATTTTAAAAATGATCAGAGAAGTGTTTGAACGCGCGCTGTGTCTCGAGAGGGAAGCGAGCGCGAAATTCGTTGCTCTCGCGAGAGAAAAGTCGACACTAAACGCGTGCGCTGCTTTTCAAAATAGTTTGGACATTTTTTGTGGGTGCAATTCGGAACAGCACACAGCGGATAAGTCAAATGAGAGAACTTTATTTGTGGAAATTTTTCCGAAGAGAGAGAGAGAGAGAGAGAGAGAGAGAGAGAGAGAGAGAGAGAGAGAGAGAGAAAGTTCTCGATCCATTTGAAGAAACACTGCACATATAATTTGAAAATCTCGCGCGATGAAGAAAAACGTGTCTTGTCGATGACAATATAACAAGGCGAGGTGCTCAAGTTGTAAACATCGGTAAGGCTCTCGAGGTGCCGGTGTTCTTTGTGAAACACTGTTTCTGCGGTTTCTCGTTCTTTGCTTTTTCTTTTTTTCTTCCTTCTCCTTTTTCCCCTTTTTTCTTCTTTCCTTTCAACAATCCGCGAGACACGAGAAAGAAGATTCCTCGGTATTCCGCGCGCGCGCGTTTAACACGCGCGGTGAACGTAACGCGCTTCAAACGCTTCGTACTTTTCAGTGGCGGGCTAACGACGAATGAAACGTCAAACCACGGTCCGGCGATCCCGGACACGGTGTGCAATAAAGGCGACGATAAATGTACTATAAATATACGCGAATAGGTCGTATCGCGAGCTCGCGTCTACCGGTGCGCTCTCGCGGATCCTTACATTGTGTACGACAATCGGCGCGTGCGTTTGCGGTTGCTCACCCGTCGCGTTCCTACCTACCTACCTACCTACCTACCTACCTACCTACCTACCTACCTACCTACCTACCTACCTACCTACCTACCTACCTACCTACCTACCTACCTACGCGGAATTCCGAAACTTGAGATTTACGGCGGTCTTATCATCGGCTCGATCCAAAACCTTGAAGCATCGGATCGCGTAATACTTCGCTGCACGCTGTTTCTCTCCCTCTTTCTCTCTCTCTCTCTCTCTCTCTCTCGTGCGCGCGCGCGTGCGTGTCGGCAAATTTAGATAAATTATGCAAACTAAAGCTCATACAAAGTGATATCGCGAAGCTTCGAACTTGTTCGTTTCTCATATGTTACATGCAATATGTACCTATATTTTGCTCTGTTTGCATCACACGTCCGAATGATCTCACATGGTCTCAAAGAGCGTCCCTCGTGCCATTGAACAAATAGGACGCGTAATTTTGATGAAAATCCGCAAAGATACCGATAATCACTGATTGATTATTTTGTTTTCAGGAATTCTACGAGATCGTCGAAAGTCTCTGGAAAGACCGGGGCGTCCAGCAGAGCTTTGAGAGAAGTAACGAGTACCAACTCATCGACTGCGCCAAATAGTAAGTGACTTTTTATTTCGAATATTCTCCGCACAATTTGCGGCCGAGGGTTCGTCTCGGTGCGTTTCGCGAGGCCGCCGAGGGATTTCAAGCGGCGCGATCGCGCGTTACTCTCGATGAACCGTGTCCATTGTGCCACATTTAACCCGTACAAACGCGCGCGCGCGCACGCGTAACGTTTTGACGTGTGACATTCAAGCGAACATGAATTTGCAAGAAACTCCTGCGCGCGCGCGCGCGCGCGCGTGACTTCACTTTTCGCGAAATCGATCGAGTTTCGATAATGTACACACTCAGTGTCAGTTGCTTCACAGTTTGATCGCTGGGTCCTCCCTGGCTACACCTCGCGAGTAGAGTACGCCAGGCACAGTTGTTGTAATCTGCTCCAAAGTGATATCACGATCGTGATAAGAAATCCGTAAGATAACGTTTACGCGTCGATAACACCACCCACAGAACGACGGATCTGTCTGTCGATGTTGCCTTGCCGTTCTCGCAATGTTCTTTCCTCTGAACAACTGTCGCGCTTAACAAAAACGCTACATGTGAGGCTTCCGCGCCTCGATCGTGCCAACGTACTTGCTCTCGCGCGATGCGATGTGTTGTCGAATTGTCCGTGGTAAAACGTAAATGAGATTTTTCACTGAACGATTTCACGAACAGACAGAAAATTAACGAACCTTTTAAGGTGGAGATAGATAGAGATGGTGAGTTTCCGTGAATGATAGAAAGTACCCTCCGCAATTGATTTCGCATGTTACAATTCTCAAGCAGCGTTGGACGTATTCGTCACCACGTCACGTTTTTGAAAAGCTCCCTTTGTATCGAAAGTATTCGTATGTATTGTGTGCGTGCGTATATATATTCATAGACACTTGTGACACCGATTTAATGCCAATGGAGACAATGCCTTAACGAGGTAATCACTTTAATAGGGGCCACTCGTTTGTCCAGGGGTTCTGGACGCGAATTGGGTTGGACACGAATTGACCCAATCTCGAGTTTTTTTCTACGCTAATTTGATGACACAAGCGTTGATTTAGTTATATCAAGCGGATTCGTCGCGTAATGTAAATATTTCATTCGCGAGAACGAGAGGATCAAACCGAGGCGACCGAAGGTATAACCGATCCGCCGGCTACGGCGATGAGATCCCATCCCATCGTAGTCTCTTCGTGTGTGTGTGTGTGTGTGTGTGTGTGTGTGTGTGTGTGTGTGTGTGGCGGGGGGGGGAGTTATTGCACCAGATCGCGTTTTATATATGGAAATGGAAAAATCGCGCGAATCTTCGGCGTGAACGACGGCCGTATCGGTTCAACCAACAACCGGCATGTGAGTTCACTTTGCACCTATCGGCTTGTTAAACACTTTAATTAGACAGCATGAAACGTCGTGACCTTCTATGCAGTTGTACAGTATCGCTATAAACGCGTTTGTGTAGCGGCAATTGAATCGAGCATTCGACGGGTCACGATGGGGGGAGCCGTCGAATCTTCTGAACGATTAAATTTATCGATGATTAAAAGCTGGTGATTGCGAACCGCTTCGGGGTGAATCACTCCGAAAATCGACGAAACTTGAACTCTTGAGAAACTACGATTCAGATCTCGTTCTCTTTCTTCAATGATACTGGATGTGGTACAGTAGAGGTACATGTATGTAGAAATATCTCGAGACGGAACACACGCGCGCGCTTGTACCTTTGTCGAATATAATGTTTTACCTGAACTTTGGTATTAATTACGCGACTAAATTCGTTCAGTTTGCAAGACATGCTTTCTCTTCGACCCCCCCCTCTCTCTCTGTCTCTCTCTCTCTCTCTCTCTCTCTCTCTCTCTCTCTCTCTCTCTCTCTCTCTCTCTCTCTCGCCTTCATCAATGTTTCGTGTCGCTCATAATCGCATTATCGCAGATTTCTTGCGTCTCTCCCTCCTTCCATCCCTCCCTCCCCCACCCACCCTCTCTCTCTCTCTCTCTCTCTCTCTCTCTCTCTCTCTCTCTCTACCTCCCACACCGTGGTCGGTGGCGCGATTTCTGTCTTCTCTCTCGCTGTGCAGCGAGAATCGTTGCCGTTAAAAATAGCGCGTCGTATTTTTAGGCAGCGCTCCGGCGCGGTGAGATATAGCGCTCACGGCATATTCGTAGAGACGAGGGAGACGCAAGATGGTTATAATCTTGCGGTCGTATGTATCGGCCGCATTTCTGCGACTGCGCCTGTTCCCACTCTCGTTCCCTCGCGCTCTCGCCTGTTCTTCCTTGCAAAAATACATGCGCACATTCATGAGTAGCGTAGTGTTCCATACATGCGGGACAAACGAGTACGCGGATTTCACTACATCCCAAAATCCCTGCAAATCTACCCATTATCTTAGACTACTGTCTACTGATGGAACGAGAAAAAAGGAAACAAGTTTCATATCTCTTCTGGATCTTGACTGGACGGAAAATTTTGATCTTTCGCCGGCCATATCGCGATACGTCGACACACAACTGCCTGTGATGTGAGTCAAGCATCATGATTCGCAGGATTGTGAAATGCAAGATTTGCTGAAACTTCGAATCCAGAATGTCGAAAAAGAGGCGCTATCGAGTACGTTACGCCGTGAAGGCGACATCGCCTCGCGAAAGAATTCCTCTCTCTCTCCCCCTCCCCCCTCTCTCTCTCCCTCTCCCTCTCTCCCCCCTTTCTCCTCTCCCCCTCTCTCTCCCTCTCTCTCTCTCTCCCCTTCTCTCCCTCCCCCCTTTCTCCTCTCCCCCCTTTCTCCTCTCCCCCCTTTCTCCTCTCCCCCCCTCTCTCTCCCCTTCTCTCTCCCTCTCTCTCTCCCTCTCTCTCTCTCTCTCTCTCTCTCTCTCTCTCTCTCTCTCTCTCTCGTGTGAACACACGCAACGCGTGTGACATAGTACTAGTAAAAGTATGACCTGCTTGCGCGCACTAAATACGGCGCAAACGTTATATACTCCCTAAAATATCTCGAATCTGTGTGAGTCAGTGTGTAGAGAATAAATATTTGTCCGGCACGATTGTGCTGTGCATAACAAGGCGCGCGCGATTATCGATTGTTGGTTCAGCGGGAGTCATTTCCGGGTTGGACGATCATCGCGTCGAGCGAAATAAAGAACCGGCAACGACGATGACGACGACGACGACGAGTACTACTATGCGCGCAGTTACGCTGTTGTAATTGGAAGAAAAATGTAATATCGCTCGCGCCGCGAGTGCTGCGAGTCGGCGTTGCCGTATTAATCACGCCTCGTCTCGTTTATAGTAATAATGCGACGTTTCAATTAACACGATAAAACAGCGCTCGACGTGTTTTAAAAAAGGAAACTCGCGCCGCTATATTTAGACCGTCGGTCTATATCGTGTAGATTATTGATGCTGCTATATAGCCCGTAAATGTTTGGATGGATAGACGCGCGCGCGCGCATTCCCTCTCTCTCCTCTCTCTCTCTCTCTCTCTCTCTCTCTCTCTCTCTCTCTCTCTCTCTCTCTCTCTCTCTCTCTCTCTCTCTCTCTCTCTCTCTCTCTCTCTCTCTCTCTCTCTCTCTCTCTCTCGTTTCCTTCCGCGCCTTTCTTCACCGGCGACACGTTGCGCCGATGATATTTAATTCTTTTTTTTTTTTCTTCATCTTATCTCTCAAATGTATACACTTTCAACGAGCATGCATCCCGCGATCAGTCAAATTTTAAGGGAAGGAGATAAAATTTGTTAATAATATTGTTGCAATAGACATCTCTGTCGCTATTGCGCGACGATATTATAACGCTATTATATAGCTTTTAGCGGAATGCTTGCGCTGAATGTCAAATTTATGAGTGGTTGAACGAAATTGACCTCGTGGCCTGTTGAAATGAGAGATTATTCTCGCAGTATAGTGTAGTTACAATCGCGAGTTAGTTTGAAAAATCTCTTCTCTGCAAAGCTCTTTTTCGCGATGATCGATTGAATCGCCGACACTGAAGGAAGAAACCGCGTTGCAGTAGCTAGTCCGACAGAGTCCGATCTCGCGATACGGGATAATTTGGGAAAGAAGGAGAAGGAAAAACGAGAGATACGAGAGAGCAATACATCGAACTGGAAATTTAGCGTCGGGCAAGAGAAGTTCGCGCCCACCAAAGTGCGGAAGACAAAGAGGATGTTTAATGTTTACTGTCGCGAGCCGCCGCATGTCGGCGACGTTAGGTTGGACTGAACGCGACTGCTGGAACCGCCAGGTTCGTCAAATATTTGCAATTGGTGTGTCGAATGGTCGGGCGTGTCAAAGCTCCAATTTGTAACGATGGAAGAGGAGGATCGCCATCGGGCTCTTGCGTGTGATCGCGAGTCTTATCGAGGGGACCTTAAAAGCCGCCGAAATGTAACGAGTGCGAGCTCCAGAGCTCGGCCAACTGCTTATCCCCTTAAATCCCCGCAGCCTCGAAATGTCGGGGGTGGCTTATCGAAGGAGGTGAAGTTACCTCTGGCCGAGTAAGATTTCTCATTACCAAACGTTACCAAACGCGCGAATACGTCGTCGTGAAAATCGCAAAGTATCACCAGTACCTCAGTATTCTCAGAAGAAGACAATTTGTGACTATTTTCTCATTCGGCAAATTGTCTTCGTAAAACTTGTATTTTTATCCGTGTGAAAACACACACGACTCGTGTTTCTCAAAGTTTATTCAGATGCGGCATAAGTTCCAACTTATTTTATCAGTATATTAACTATCGTGTTCCATAGAATAGAGAGAGAGAGAGAGAGAGAGAGAGAGAGAGAGAGAGAGAGAGAGAGAGAGAGGGAGGGAGGGAGGGAGGGAGAGGGAGAGAGAATCAAAGAAAGAAAATTCTAAATTTCAAAATGAAGAGTAAAAACAATAGCGCAGGGAAAGTTGTTGCTCCGCTTATTTTCTATGCGAGGAATCAAAGATTGTCCGTATGAAGGTAGGTGATTGTGCGCGATTAATCTTCGCGATGATCTCGCGTAGCCGGAAAATTCGACTCATGTCGGCAATCGACTCGA